GACGTGTGCTCTTCCGATCTGTACGTGTTTTTTATTGTCTTGTAAAAGTAAAAGAAAATCCGTACAATCAAGACTTCAGTTTTTCTTACGGTTCCCGATTTCCCCTCGCCTTCTACGAGACATATTGTGCTCGCAAACAATTACATACCATTCAAAAGTTATTTAGGTGGCCCGGAACTTTTGGCGGGCACTGTATATCTCACTGGAAAATATCTGTTTATGGGACCGCATCCTTAAGCCTTATCTACATAAGTTGCAAACGCACAACGCAAACGCAAACGCGGAGAAAAAAAAGAAAAAAACAAAAAAAAAGAAAAGAAAAAGAGAAACGTCCGCGTTTGCGTTAGGATAGGGCTTTACAGTCAATAAAATACCGAAAACTATATGTATAGGCAGAAAGAAGCATGAGAGCGGCCATCCCAACGTTTTTTGCAACACCGGCAAAAGTTTTGACCTATAGGCAATAAGTAATTATTTTTGACATACAATTTTTTAAAAGTATCATTATTATAAATTAATCTATTAATAAACTTTTTGATGCAAATTATTTCTGTTTCATCATATTTTTAAAATAATTCATTTCAATTCGTAATTTATAAAAAAAAAAGTATTTTTTAAATATAAACATAATTAAGTAACTATATATGTCATAGAATGGTTTATTAAACTATACTATTTTATTGAATTTAAGGTTTCCAAAAATTACATAATTAAATATGTTTATTGATTAAAAAATTCATGTTATTCCGACATAATGACAAGCGAATTAGATAGATTCTTTTATACAGGATATCTTAAATAGCGATCACTAATTACATAGTGTTATTTTATACAAAAAACTGACTCGAAAAGTTCTGATTTTTTTTGTACAATGCTCAATAAAGTAGTAGTTACTGCAATAGTAATCTATTTTATGCATTGTGGAAAAAAAATTCAAGATTTTTTGAATGTTTCTTTTTACAAAAAATAACGTCATTAGTAGGCGCTATTCAAGATATATCCTGTATGTATGTACAAGTCTGATACTATTGCTATATCGAGATATCACATGGCAAGCTTAGCGATAAATAAAATATAAAATATCATAAGCTTTCTATATTCAGAGTTTTAAAGAGAAAATTTTTATCATTATTACATAGAATATTTTGACACAAATTAGTTGATAGTTAATAACAAAATTAATTAATTTATAAATATAAATGAGACAGCTTAACCTTCAAATGGTACAAGACTGCGAATTCGCACTGCAAAAATTTTCAAATTGCTGATATTTGCACAGAGACATTTATCGCGGTTTACCCCCCTACTACGTTAAATATGCCCGGTAGCTCAGGTAATAGGTACGAACATGCACAGCTTCAGTTTCGTACAGATTAACGAAATATTAACTTCGCAAGTTCGTTGTGGTGCATATTCGCACTTGTATTCAAATAGTGTGGGCCAGATCGGTGCCTACTTTTAGCGTTTTACACATTTATAAACATTGTAGTATATTCCTTTTTTACATTACGTTATAAACATTGTAATATGTTTCCTTTTTTTACATTATAACAAATAAAACATTTGTATGTATAATCTTATTCCATCTGTTTTCTCTGTCTTAACTTCCATGATAATATGAACAGTACTTTTTAATATAATTTTAATTATGTAAACGGTTTTTATTAATAATTCATTTTATAAA